CTTGAGGGCCGTTGCCTTAGAGCAGAATCATTTCCCTGTACTGCGACCCCCTGCTGATGCCAAGCCCCCCCCCCCACCCGGCCCCGGCAGGGTCCACATCAGCTCTACCTTTGGATGGCTCTACTGTGACCCAGCCCCAGCGGGCTTAGGCTGGTGAGGTAGCCCCTGACAACCCGAGCCAGCCAACGCCATGTTATGGGAAGTGGACCCAAATCAGGTGGCTTCCCAGGCACTGCCCAGGCCCAGACAGGCCTGCAGGAGTTGTTGAATAGAGCCCCGGTCACCCCCGTACACCTGGGGCTCACTGCTGGCCCCTGACAGTCAAATGGACAAAGGAAATGAGCCAGCATGTGTATGTGTATGGGGGGGTCTTTGTCGTTCTCAGGTTGTTAGGGAGGGGTGAGATGGGGGAACCCCCCCCCCAGAAGTCAGGAATCACAACCCTGTGGTTCTGAGTGGAGACCAACCAGCCTTTCTAAGCAACACAGAGATTCTTTGCCCTGTGTGCTGGTTCACGTCCCTTGTGGGGATGGCTACGCATGGGCCTGGGGGGCAAGGCTCTTCATCCGTCTTGCCTTTCTACGCCCTCTTAACCCTCAGTCCTCAGAACTCAAGGAAAGATTCCCTCAACCTCGTATGATGTGAGAAACGGGGCGTGCTCCCTCTGGCAGCCTGGGTGTAGCTCAGCCCAGCCGCCATGCCCACTAGCTCCTCCAAGTCCCGTTTCTCTCATGGGCAGCGTGGCTTGCCCCCGGGTCTTTGCCCACAGTGAGGACTCACTCCTGCCTCCCCAGACACCTCTCCCTCACACGGCTGCCAACCTCAATCAGGCGCGCTCGGGAGACTCCCAGTCGGGGCCCCAAGGCCCGGCCTCCTCAGGAGAGGGGCATGTCCCGTGTGAACAAACCTTCCTGTCCATCTCAGGGAGCTCCCCTCCTAGGAGTAAAGTGAAACCTAGAGATAAGCATCCAAAGTCACCTAGCAAGTGAAGGGAAGCCTGGAGCTCTACCCGCCCCTCTTGCAGTCTCGGCAGCCACGTCCTGCCCTGCGAGAAGCCACGGGCAATCCCCAGTGCCAGGGCTCCCCACCCCCACCACAGGCAGTGACGTGATGGAAGACTGGTCCAAGGGGCAGAGTGACTGGATGGAACTGGTGACCAGCGAGGCGGCAGAGGGCAGGGTGGCCCGCTGAGACCCAGGAGCCAGGGTGAGGGGGGGCCAGTGGGGAGGGGCACAGGCCTCCTAGCCCAGGCCCTGCAGCTCTGCCTCGGACTTGGCATGGCCAAGGGGCCGCAGTGTGCGGGGGGGCCTGCCCTGGGACCCCCGGTCCTGCTCCTCGTAGCCAGGGTTCAGGCGGCCCAGGTGGAGGGAGCAGAAGAAGCTTCGCCCCGGCCCAGCGTGGTGCTCCACCAGGGCCTCCAGGCTGGCGAACTCGGTGGACAGGTGCTAGGGAGGAAAGGGCTGAAGCTGCAGCTCCCTCTCCCTATGGCTCTGCTCTGGATGCCAACCACCCCTTCACAGGGGATCCTGCCCCACCCCAGAAGGGAGGAAATTCAAGCTCAGAGAGGTCACTGTCCCGCTCACGGCAGAGCCAGACACTGTCTCCTCTCTTTTTGTCTTGCCAGCCTGGCCAGGACTGAGCCGTTCAGCTTGGGATGAGGGGGCACATCCAGTTCCCGGACACCTGTGGTCAGGTCAAGATTCCGGGCCTAGAATCCCCAAGGCTGGGTGAACTTAGACCAGCCCCTGCCCTCTCTGAGTCAGCTTCCAGCTCAGCTAAAAAAAAAAAAAAATGGGCTAGGGTGTGGGAAAGCCAATTTTAAAAGCCAGGATTCCTACAGAAGTGGGAGGCATCACCTAGGCCCAAGACTTTCCTGGAGGTCTCCTCCAAAAGACCACTCCGGACAGAGGGGCCTGAGGGCGGGGCCAGGAGAGAGAGGTGGGGCCAAGTGGGCCAGGCCAGTGGGGGCCGGGCCAGCAGGGCAGGATGGAGCGTTAAGTAAGGGGTGTGGCCAGAGAGAACTGCCAATGGGAGACCGTGATGAGATGAGGGGGCTGGAGGGCGGGCCCTTCACGGCTAGGGAGGGAGGGGCCTGAGGGCCAGGGGCGGGGCCAGGGCGGAGCAGGCAGCGGAACACTCACCTCCACGCAGTAGCGGCCCACGTGGTTCCGGAAGACCTGGTGGGGCACCACACCGCACTGCGTCCGCACCGACAGGCACCACTGGCCACTGGCGCCCGGCTCGGGCCACAGCAGGAAAGCCCCAAGCACGTCTCTCCGCAGCAGGGCCAGGGCACTGGGCCTGGGAGGGCAGCAGGGAGAGGCTGAAGGCGGGAGTCCTGGCCTCAGGTCGCTCCCCTTGGCAATGGCGTAACTGGAAAATGTGCCTGACCCAGAGTAGGCCCTCCACCAAAGGAAGCTTTTAGACTTCCTTCCTAAGAGGCTTCTAAGGGGGTCCCTAACTGCTGACGGCTTCAAGGTCCAATCGGGAGAGTTTTGAAGAGCTGATGGTTAGGCAGCTGCTGCCCTGTGACAGGCCAGGTGCTGAGAGCTCGACCTGAGCTGCCCCATTTGATCCTCTCCACAGACCTGTGATGAAGGTCCTTTTATTATTTCCACTTTACATTTGAGAAATTTGAGGCCCAGTAAAGTCTCTGGCCTGAGGCCACCAAGGTCAGGATGGCTCTGCTATCTACAGAAATGTGCACATGTCACGGCCCTGGGGGAGCCCACAATCCACTGGATATCCGGCCAGGCCAGGCCCCTCCTACCTGGAGATGCCAGCAAAGGCCCAGATGTTCTCCGTCAGACTGCCCTCGCTCTCCACCAGACACGAGGGACCACCGGGCCCCCGGGGCCATGCTTCCCACGCAGCAGGAACTATGGAGACCACCCAGGGGTCAGAGGGAGAGAGCCGAGGCCAGACCGTCACCCCACCACTACAGACCCCACCCCCCATGCTTGTCTCCTCACCAAGACGCCCCCAGCAAAGACACCCACACAGGGCACACCCCCTCACGCCTACTCAGCAGCTGAAGCACACCCACAGCTGTACAAACCACCTATGCAAGCCCCCTGGCCTGCAGACCCACATGCATACCCACGTGGATATGCACATAGCCACACTCAGGCCCAGCGTCTCTGACTGACGGTCAGGCCCGCGCCCCTGCTACCCTGGGGCAGGCGAGCTCTTTGCAACTCACAGGCCTCCCAGGCGGACAGCTGCAGCTGAGTCTCGTAGGTGCAGCCGCGGTAAGCCCCGGAGCGGATCACCTTGCTGCGAATGGCCTTCTTGCGCACCAGCGTGGGCGAGCAGTAGGGATTCCCCAGGCGGGCATGGCGGGTGCCCCCACGGCCTTCTGACTCTGGCAGCTCCTTCTAGGGCACCAAGAGGGGCCCACAATGGGCAGGGAGACTCAGGCCTGGCCAGGTCAGGTCGGGCAAAGCCCCCTCCCACTCACATGCAGGACTCCCCTCCTATGACCCCCGAGCCCTCGCCCAGGACCCTGTCCACTGCCCGCTTCCTGGCTGGGCTGCCGCATACCCCACTGCCCACAGGTGCCTCTGCGGGCAGCCGCCGGAGGGAGACCAGGGCATGAACACTCTGTGAAAGCTGATCACGGCTGAAGGGTTCCCGTACTAGGCCAGGGGGGCCCCCAGGGCTGGACGGTGGCTTCAGGGACATGTCCCCAGTCGACGCCAGGCAGGGCTCAGGCTGTGCCCGCTCCTCAGGGTGCTGCAAGAGGTAAGCGAGCTGGAAGGAGCGGCAGAGCAGCAGGTGCAAGATCTGGACCTAGGGAAGGGGAGGGAGTTGGCTCACTTGGGGCACGTTTCCTGGGGAACCCATTAGGCATCAAGCCACTCACCATCAGTGCATGTAACAGCCCCTTGACTTGGGATCCTCTTCCGCCTTCTTCCTGGGAAAACTCCTACTTATCCCTCAAAACTTCACCACGATGCAGTCCCCCGCTACCAGCTTCCTTTATTCATTTAACAAAAACTGGGCACCTGCCTTGTTCCAGACATTGTGCCTGGAGCTGGGAATACCTAAGCTAAAAGCACCCCTACCCCTACGTACCTGCTGTGTCAGTGCCCTCTTAGAGCAGTGGCGAAGGGCCCAGGCCCTCCAGTCACACAACCTGGGGTCCAATCCTGACTCTGTCATTTAGGGGCTGCTGTGCGACTCTGGGCAGAGCCTGGCACCCCTGTGCCTCAGTGTCCTCATCTCCACTTCCCTGTGCTCCTTTAGTGAAATGGAGCACAGAAGGCCCCCAGCGTGGGCCCACCGCTCTGGGGCCTGTACATTCTACCCACCACACGCATCATCTAGCCCCAACATACTGGAGCCGTGAGCTCCGGAAGGTCAAGAGCAGTGTCTCAGCCACCTGTCATTCCAGCAGCCAAGCACACAGCTTGGGATACAGGGGTGGCGGCAAATGGTTGCTGGATGGACCCAAGCCCAGCCTCTGCTTGCCAAACACCTGGCAGCCAAGGCTGTGTTGTTCATGGTCGTCACACTGGCTTTGACCTCCAAGGTCTATCCACTCACCCTCTAGTCTAAGGGGCAGAGCACTAGAGTGGTTCACGACCTCCTGGCCCCACTTCTGCTTTCACAGAATTCCACTGTCCACCATCGAGGACAGACCACTGCTACAGTGTGGCTCATGTCACAAGACCTCAGAAGGGAAGAGTGGCCTAGAGGACTCAGGGTAGGCTTCATGGACACACGGACTAGCCCTGAAGGGCAAGTTGGAATTTCCCAGGAGCAGAAGGGAATCCCGGGCAGAGAGAACAGCGTGAGCAAAGGCCTGGCAAGGGTGTGTATCCACTTTCTGAGCACATGTCCCGATCCCTACTTCCAGGCCCCGGGAAAGCGGAGGCCATGGACTTGCTTTTGTGGAGTCCCCAGCGGGCAGAGCCACAGAAGGAGCAGGTGTGACAAGGAGCACCTGCCGGGAGGGGGCTCAGGCCGGCGTGGCTCCGTCCTCCACGGCCTTGGTTCCCAGAGGCTGTGCTGATGCGCAGCTCGCCCCCCATCCCAGCCTCAGCCCCGGGCCCCCGATACCTCTCCAGGCTGGTTGCCCACAAAGAGGTGGCAGAAGAGTTTGCTGGCTGGGCTCTGGGGGTTTCGGGCCATGAAGGCAAACTGGCATTCGGCTGGGCACCAGGTAGAGTAGAGGATGCGCCTCAGAGCATGAGCCATCAGGAGCACCTGGGGTGGGGCGGGGCAGGGGGTGGCCTCCATCAGTCTCACCGCCCTGGGCGCCACGCACCTGCCGGCCGGCCCCAGGGGCCTCCTCTCCAGCCTGTTTGCCCAGCTTAGGGCCCACCCCGCTCCCGCGGAGGAGCTCCACCCCCTCCCAGGCCTGCCCAAACCCTGCTTCACAGGGGAACCCTCGTCCTTCACATGGCCTCTGGGCTCGGCCCCTTGCTCTCCGCTGCCAACCTGCTGCTTGGGATCGTCACTGGGACTGAGGGGCGAAGAGTTCAGGGCCTGCAGGGTCACGGAGAAAGACAGTGGCAGCAGGCCAGGGGGTTGCACGCCTGGGGCTCCCACGCCTGGTCTTTGGAGTCGGCTGGCCAAGGTCAGGGTCCCAGCTCTGTCCCACTCTGTGTGCCGTGGGCACGTAAGGACGGCCCTCTGAGCCCCTGAGACAACTGTTAAGGGGGACAGTACCCCTCTCTGACGGGGCTGTGGGGGAGGGTCAGTGAGACCTCCTGCACGTGGCACGGGACCTGGCCCCGGGGTTCCTGCGATGCTGGGACACGTCTGGGACACGATCTGCACCATAGTCCTAGGAGAGTGGCCTGGGGGTCGTGGGGTACGAGGTTAGCGTTCAACACACGCTGGCTTGCACCAGGAGGAGCGGCTCCTGACCCGCCTCCAGCCTGAGTCCTCCGGCCACGGCCCACAGGCCAACCCTGGGCGGGTCTCCAGCGAGGCCCGGGGACCTGCAAAAAGCTGGGGCTGACGGTCCTGACGCTCCGGCCAGGAGTGAATCCCCGGACATCCTGGAGGGCTTGCCAGAGGGCAGGGCCCTGGGAGAGAGGATGTTCAAAGGCCCAGAGCAGGCTGGGGCGGCGGGAGGCTCCGCGTGGCGCAGGGCCGGGTGCGTTCTGAGGGAGTAGGACACCTTGTCCTGCTCAGTCCTCAGCTGCACCCACACGGGCTCCTACCTCACCCTCCCCGCTGTAGATCTTGAGGCCCTGAAGGCTGAATTTCAGGATGACGGCCCGGCGTCGGGGACAGTCCTAGGCGGGAGAGAGTTGCACGGGGCAGGCATTACCTCCCAGGCCCCGCCCCGCCTCAGTACCAGTCACCACATCCGGTCAGCCAACCCCGCCCCAGCTGCGAAGGGACTGAGTGTGGATGGCTCCCGCCGCACCACACCCCCAGCAGGGCCAGAGCCGTGTTATGACCGTTCCCCACAGGTCCCATCTATGGCTTCTGCCCACGGGACACAGGTCACGACTGCTGGAGGGAAGGGGTCCCCGGGCATAAGGGACACAGCTATGGGCACCTGGGTGTGGCCCTCACTGGGTCCACTTCTCAGAATGGCCTTGGTGTGGTCCCTCCCTGGGCCTCACTTGCTCCGTGTCCGTGACCGGGGGGCTGGACTGGACGGTCTCGGGGCCATTCCGTGGCTGTGATGGCCGCAAGGGACGTGCCCTCCCCGGCGCCCTACCTTCAGTGCCCACAGCTGCTGTTGAACCAGCCACACGCTCTCCTGGGTGTCCAGATCGTCCACGGGGAAGGAGCCCACATACTGCTTGGGGGTGCGGTGAGGACGGGAGGGAGGCAAGGCAGGTCCATGGCTCCTGATCCCATCCGCCAAATCCCCCCCTCCCCCGACACACTCTGCCCTGTGGGGGGAGCGTGGACAGTGACCAAGCACCGAAGCACCGTGCTCGGGCCTCGGAGGCTCTGCCGCTTCCCAGCAGGTGGCTTTGCCCGAGCCACTTTGAGGCCCCATCTCACCTGTGCGCGCACACATTCTGGAGCCCGGGTAAGGGAGGGAAGACACAGGAAGGGCTCCTCCCCACTCCCCAGGCATCCGTCATCCCTCAGTCACCACCACCACAGTGCCCCCCACCGCGGGGGCGGCCCCACCCACCTGGGCGAACTTGGTGATGCACCTGGGCCGGTGAGGGGCGGGGCCGCAGTCAGAGGCTCTCCGGCCCCCTGCCCTGGCCCTCTGCATGGCCCCCAGGGTCCCCAGCTTGGAGCTCCACAGGACAGGAGGCTGCAAAGGGCAGGGGAGAGGGACGGTTGCCACGTACCGGAGCCACACTGCTCCCCTCAGAGGCCAGTGAGCTCCTTCATCTCCCAAATCCTTCCAAGCGCTTGCTGTGTGCCAGGCAGTGTCCCGGGCACTGGGGACACAGGGAACACACAGCCCAGAATAAAACGACAGCCTCCCTCCTGTCCTTGGGGAGCCCACATTCTCGTGTGGAAGAAAGTGAACTAATCAATCAGTAAGAAAAGGAACTTGCTAGGGGCGGCTGAGTGGCTCGGTGGGTTGAGCATCTATCTGTCTATTGGTTTGGGCCCAGGTCATAATCTCATGGTTTGTGGGTTTGAGCCCCAAGTTGAGCTCTGCGCTGACCTCATGGAGCCTGCATGGAATTCTCTCTCTCTCCCTCTCTTTCTGCCCCTCACCCACTCATGAATGTGCCCATGTTCTCTCTAATAAACTTTAAAAGAGTTAAAAAAAAAAAAAAGATATGCCACACATTAGACAATGATGAAGCAGAGAGAAGGCTATGAAATGCCGGTTAGGGGCCGACTGCAGCTAGGAAGGCCTCACTGAGAAGTGAGCTTGGGAGAAAGAGCTGAAGGTAGGGGGGAGGCAGTCCACACCCTGGGTCAAACACCGACACCTCTGTGCGCTGGGCTGGGCCTGCCCCGGGGTGGAAGTAGGCTCGAGGGTCCTGTAACCAGCCTGTAGTGCCAGGAGCAGGGGGACAGACTGGGAAGGCACCAGAAGAGAGGAGGGGTAAGACAGCTTCCGGAACAGTCGGCAGTCACAGGATGGGAAGACCTTATCAGAAGAGTGGGCCAGAGCCGGGCCAGCATCAGCCTTGAATGTCACACCAAGGGAATTTAGGCTGTGCCCTGTGGGCGGTGGGGAGCCACAGCAGTTGCAAGCCAGGAGCTCTGTCACCTGTGGGAGTGACCCATGTGCTGGAGGGCCGGAGCTGCCGAGGCCGGGCACGGGCTGCACAGGCCCAGCTGACTCCAGCCGCTGCCTGAAGCCCCCAGCCGCCCCACCCCCCACCCCCCCGCAAACCAGTCTAGGGCTTGGTCTTTCCTGGGGCCCCTCTCCCAGACCCACGAGTGGAGGAGAGAAGGAACCCTCCCCTACTTAGACTGTCCTCGAGGACCCGGAGAGTGCTCACGTCCCTCGTGAGAGCTCACCACCACCGCTGGAGCACAGGGAGCGTGAGGTCCAGGCATCTTGAGAAAGAATGGCTGATTGCCTCTGCCTGGGTCCCCAGTGACTCGCTGCCTTAGTTTTCGCTGGGGCCCACTTAGACCCCCCACCTCCATCCTCCATCCCGCCTGGCTCTGTCTCGCCAGCCTGCACTTAGGATCAGAGAGACGTGTGTCCAGATGCTGTGTGAGTTTGGGCAAGCTGCCCCACCTCTCTGAGCCTCCGTTTCCTCCTCCCCAAACCTGGCATAACGTGAGGAGGCAAGCACTGAACGGAGGAGCAGGCGCCCGGCATGACACCATCTGGGCGTGGAGCGACACTCGACAGGTACAGAGGATGGGGGAGCCTGAAGCCTGCTGTTTGGGAGGGAGCTCAGGAAGACAGCGAGGTCTGACCACTCCCCGGGCCCTGCTTACGCCGGAAGACTGGAAGCCCCCCCAGTCTAGGAGAGCAAGGCAGAAGGAGAGGCCTGCCTGGGAGCAATGATTCCTCCAGGAGAAAGCAGGCGGCATCAGGAGGCCCGCCGGAAATGGGTGTGTCCCCTTTACACTTTTCCCACCTTCAGGCGGGTGCTTAGAAATCGGCACTCCCAGCGCTAGAGTCCGGGAAGGGCCCCTTCCTCCTCCAGCTCAGACCTTCAGCCCCAGGCTCAGTGAGGGTAGGGGCGGCGGCAGCAGCCATCCAGCACGTTCCGCGAGCAACCCGCTGCCGTACTTTCTGTGAGGGGCCGGCACCAGAAGAGCCCGAAGTAAAAGCTGCGCGGTCCCCTCGATGCCTTTGTGTTCCTACTCCTCCCGGACCCTCGTCCCTCCTGCTTTTCTGGTCTCACATCTGCTTTGTGATCCTGACCGTTCTTCAGACATCATGTCAATTAACTAGCACCCATTTTATGTTGAAACACACTAAATTAGATGCGTAACTGGCACAAGAGCAAGTGGCTGCCAGTCCAGGTATGAAGTTGGGGCTTCCAGTGACCTCGCCGTTTGCCTTCACGATCACATCAGGGGCTGGGATGCCCTGGACCCGCAGGCACAGGCCAAAAACCAAATGGGGCAAAAGGGAGAGAAGAGGAGATGAAGGGCAGCCAGTGGAAGTGGGAACGGAGATGAGACGACAACGGATGGGAGGAGGGATGGGAGGAGGGGGAGACAAGGAGCACATTTCCCATCCTCCCTGTGCTGACACAGCCCCTCAGACGAGAAGGGTGTGAGGCAGCAAAGAGCCACATGGGTCCCCAGGCACACTCACATTCGCTCCCACACAAGCCGAGACAGCTGCGCCGGGGCTGCGAGCCGCCTCCTCCCTCCAGATCCAGGGCGGCAGCTTGCCTGGGGCCACTCCACTGTCCGGACTGTGCAGGTGGGTAGGCCCCACCACCTACCATCTCCTGACACCCCCCCCCCCACATGCCCCAGGAAACTGGAAGTTTGTCTCTTCCTCTCCCTCCCTCCCAAACCTCCCTCCCAGCGCATTTCAGCCCCAAGCCTGGACTGGGGGCTTCGAGAGACCAGTGAGGGTCCCAGGCTCACCCTAACCCCGGGAAACAGACCTGCTTACTCATTCTGGGCACAAACACCCACTTATCGCTCTGGAGCACAACTGTTTTTCCAAGGTTTTACACAGGAGACTGGCTAGACTGGCACCTTCTAAGGGGACACCTTCTAAGGGGACACCTTTCTAAGGCTGGGAATCTTCTCTTGCTCCCCTGGGGCTTTCCAGGGGGCCCTGGTTAGAGACAGGGCACTAGATGGCTGCCCCGAGGGGCAAGGCAGAAGCCCTCTACTGCACCGCACTATAGCTGAGTTGAGTCATGGCGGGGCCCACCTTTACAGCCTCCTGGGAGACCGCTCAGCCTGGAGTCTGGGCTTAGCAAAGGGCAGTTCAGAGAGGTGAAGCCACTTGTCAAAGGTCACACAGCAGAAGTGGGAGGTGGGGGGAAGGAAATCCAGGTCTCTGTGGGCTCTTCCCCTGGGCCATGGCAGTGTCCTCACACCCCCCTCCCAAGTAAGCAAGGGGTCCACGTTGGGGTTTGGTGAGTCCCAGTCTATCCAGCTGCCCGGAGCACCTCAGGTGCTGGGGGCTGATAGTGAGCAGCCAAACAGCTGCTTTCTCCTCTGACAGCCTCTCTGCCCAGATGGTCAGGGGCTGCCAGAGCCTGCCTGGCCACCTGCCGCACCTCTACTACTTCTGGCTCAGTTGCACAGAAGAGCCTCTCTCTTTTTGCCACCAACACACTCCTTTTGCCACCCTCACCTGCCCTTGGCCTCCAGGTGGGAGGGGACTGGACCAAGCGGCCAGAGGTCAAGATCAACGTCACAGATCTTGATGTCCACAAGGCTGGTATGACCGTGGGCAAGTCACTTAACCTCTCAGCCTCCGTTTCCTCAACTGTAAAGTGGGGATAATAATAGCAGCTGTCTTCTGGGTTGTTCAATTGTTCCTTCTGAAAATATTTCAACCGCCAGCTACGGGCCAGGTAGAAAGCAGTCCCAGCCCTTGGGGAACACCCAAGCTGGGTCGGGGTGAGGGTACTAGATACCAACCTTTCAGGGGACCTAAGTGATCTGGAGAAAAAGAGAGTAGGGTGGGGAGGATATGAGCTGTGGGTGTTGGGGGGGGTGCTATTTCATATGGGGTGGTCGAGGATGGCGCTCCACGCAGACGACATTGAGCGGAAAGTGCTGTTTTCAGGATTAAGTGAGGCCGAAGGCCAGCGCCGGGGAGGCACAGAGCGCTGCCCGACGCGGGTCATCATTCCCGCTCTTATGTCCTTCCTGCGGATTGAGGCCAGGGCTTGGGGCTGACCGTCCCCGGCCCGGGGCAGAGAAACTCCCCGCACCGACAGAGGGGCGAGCGAGGCAGGACGCTGTCGGAGGAACGACGGCGGTGACGGCAGAGGTGGCGGTGATGCGAACAAGCGGCCGAGACGCTCCTCCCCACCGCTGCGCCCGGGGACCGAACCCCGCTCCCGCCGACCCTCCAGCCCCAGCCCCTGCCCGGCTCCCCTGCACTCACTCAACGCGGCCTCCGCGTCTCGAGTCCCGTCGCCGCTGCCCCGCGCCGCACCCCCCGCGCGTCCTGCGCGTCTCCGACGCCCGCCTCGCGGCGCCCCCCACGTGGCCGCGGGAACCAGCACCCCGAATCACCTGGCGGCGGCGCCCGGCCCTCGCTCACCAATCGGCGCCCGCGGAGCGGCTCCGATCAAGCGCGCCGCCCAATCAGCGACCGCGAGGGGCCCTCGCACCGCCCCTGCCAGCTCGCGCCCCGGCGCTCCGCCTTAAAGGGCCTGAGGGGTCATCTCTGCCCACCGCGGGGCCCCTCTACCCCGGCTGGCGGTCCCCTTTTTGAAGAGACCTTTCCCTTCTGCTCCCTAGCTAGCTCCTCCTCCTTCAAGCGGCGACTTCAGCAGCTCCTCCTCCGGGAAGCCTTCCCAGACCACCAGTGACTCCTCTAACCTCTGGAGAGCCCTCGCAACGCTTGCTGCTCACCCCATTCCTCTTACTAGAGTGCGAGCGGCACCGGTCTGGAGGGGCTTCCATCCCCGGTGCGCAGGCAGAGCCTGGTTCGTTCAGTGATTGTTGTCTAGGTGAGTGAGTGAATGCGCCGAGGACCGGGTCTCCGCAGCAATCGGGCTAGCCTCACCTTTCCTCCCCTCGCTCTCAGATGGTAGAGGGTATCGCGCATTCTCTTCCTCATCCTTTTCCCGCCGGGCTCTTATCCTAGGAGGATCCACTGAGTCTACTCAGTTCGGCGTGAACGCTGGTCACTGCACAGGGGCCGTGACCCTGTCCTTCGGGTGAGCAAATCCAGCCAGCGTGTCAGCTACTGCTTTGAACTGGAAAGCACTTTTGTTCCCATCAGGCCAGGCACCTTGTAAGTGCCAAAAAATAAATTGCAAACCCAGTTCAGCCCAGACTTTGGTGTATGAGAAACGTGAATTTCACCGCAGAGAGGAAACACCAGACATCGGCCATGCGCCTCTCTTCAGTAAAAAGGGATGGGGCTCAGGTCCAGTGGGAGAGCAAAGGCTGCACCCCAGGAAGTGAGCACCCTGACAGAGGTGGGCAAGGCAGAGAAATAAAGTCTGGGGCTGAGAGCCTCAGGTGAGTGTGGGGAGGAGGCTGGTTTGAGCCACACCTCTGTGCTGGGCATTCCCTTTGTCTGCCCAGAGCATCTGCATGCCCTTCCAGAGGCAGCACTGGGGCATATTGGTGAGGGGCTTGGCCCCAGCTTCGGGCACGTCTTATTAGATGTGGGACTTTGGGCAAACACCTTAATCACTGTAATCCCGAGTGCCTCATCTGTGAGTGTTACTAACACCTGACGCATAGTGACGTGAGGATTCCAGGGAATTTCCTGGGCAAAGTGCTTGGCACAGTTCCTGACCCACAGTGACTGAAACACTCAATATTTAATACTAGCTGGTGTCAGACAAAAGATAAAGGGCTAATTCTTACTGGCTTTCTTTAAAAAAGAAACATGTAAATTTTAAATAGAGGGCTTACCAATTATTAGATTCGCAGTCCTACTTTTGACTTTTCAGAGAAAACAACACAAGCCACAGTTGCATTAACTAATGGCTCTAACAAGTTTCGGATGCATGCAATTAACTCCGAGGCACACGCTTTTTAAAACAGTGACGGGAGTTTGTTTCAGGTCAAAATGAAAGGACCAAGAAATTAAATTCAGATGGTGAAATAGGTAAAGCAGAGAATTCTGCTTTCTAAACTTTTCTCAGGATAAGGGGACAGAGGGTCAAGGTCTCAGCGGCAGGCACTGTGCAAGGTCCCAGAGATGCTGAGATTCACAACAAAACAGAACCTGGAAAGACAATGTGTGAAATACATATGTGACATTGGCTCTTGACCACCAAAGATCCCCTTTTTATTGGTCTTTACCCTCAGGAATACAATGTTTTTTGTTTTTTTTTTTTTGCATTTATTTTTAAAATGTTTTATTTTTGAGAAAGACCGTGTGAACCCGAGAAGGGCAGAGAGACAGGGAGACACAATCCAAAGCGGCCTCCAGGCTCTGAGCTGTCAGCACAGAGCCGGAGGTGGGGCTCAAACTAACGAACCACAAACGATGAGATCATGACCTGAGTGAAAGTCTTGGATGCTTAGCTCACTGAGCAACTCAGGCGCCCCAAGAATACAATGTTTCAAAACCAAATGCATTTATACATTTGAAGTTCATTCCTTCATTTCTATTTATGTATCAAAGTAATGTAACTGCTCACCTGAGCTCTTCTCCCAGGTTACCAAGTTCAGTTGATCTAATTCCAAGAAAAGCACAGAAAGTCCAAGCTTCTGCTATGTGTGCCGCCTTACTAAGGGTCTGTTAGATATAAAAGCTGAGGTTTGGATCAAAAGAAACCAACTTCAGTGGATCAGCCATCTCCTGGGTAGGCTAACCTAGTTCCGTGCCGGACAGCGGCGCACAACGGTCATCACCGCATCATTATCCGCCCCAGGTACCTCCACTTACGCTCATGACAGCACAGCTCCCGGGAGCCAACAGGGTAGAAGAACTTCATCCATTGGCTTAATGACTCACTTTTGCAGGAAGCCCGAAGGAGTCATTTCTATGAAGCAGAGGAAGAAATGACAGACACACACGCATAACAAAGGCAAGCTAGGGTGCTGGGTTCATGATCCCTGAACATGTTAGGGCACACATGGCTATTTCCTGATGAGTCAATGGTCATTACTAAACTCCAGCTGTGAGCTTGCTATTGCAATCTTCCCTTTTCTCTAAAGTCTCAGAATCTGGTACTGGACTTGCCAGCTAATGAATGTGAGTGGGAAGTAACATCACATCATTTCAGATCTGATCGCCAAGCCCGTGAGCTGGCAGCAGGCCTCGGCGCACCGTCTCCTCCACATCTGGTTTCCACAGCACAAGCTCCCGGGCACCCCTGCCCCTCCCTTTTTTGAGCGTTCTGTGTCTCAAAATAAATAAACTTTACATATATAAAAAGAGGAGGAAATGTAGACACAGACGCAGAGCAAGGACAAAGTGAAGACACAGCCATCCATAAGCCAAGGAGAGAGAGGACTGGAACAGATCTTCCCTTGGCTCTCGGAAAGAACGAGCCCTGTGGACACCTTGATCTTGAACTTCTAGACTACAGAATTGAGACAAACTGCTGCTTAAGCCACCTGGTCTGGTCTGTGCTACTTTGTTAGAGCAGCCCAAGCACACGTCCTACGGTGATTAAAATTCCCCTCCACCCATTCAGAAAGTGGACCGCAACAGCCCAGGGCCAGATTCCTCTTCCCGTGTCTTCTGGTTTGGCAAAGCGTGGAGATTCTAGGATCAGAGAAATGGTACCACTTTTCCAGGTGGGAACCAGAGGGTTAAGCGACGTGTCTGAGGTTGCACCGTTGGCTCCAAATGGGACGCAGCCTGTGGGCGCCCGTCTTAGGGTCCCAGGTAGGGCAGCGCTTCTGCTATTGGAGGAGAGTGAATGGGCCCTGCCCTGAGGATCACCCCGAGCAGCCCACATAGTGCTGCCGCCGCCTCTTTATTTCTAGGGATCTAGTTTTATCTTATTAACTGTTGTGGGCTTTGCACTCCCGTCTGTTTCAATCTTACCATTAACATAATGACCCCACGGCCACCAACACAGTGGAATAAAATGGGTGCCCTCAAAACAGGCATTCTCTCTTACTGCTCCCTGTTACCCTATTTGAGTAGCAGGGGAATGAGGAATGGATCCTCGTACTTTCCCAACTGAAAGGTGTAGGTCGGAAGAGGACCCCTCTCCACAAACACTTGTTAGAGACTTTGTTGCCAGGGACAGATAAAATAAAGAAAACTGGGGGCACCTGGCTGGCTCAGTAGCAGCAGTGCGCCACTGTCGATCGCAGGGTCATGAGTTCACGCCCCGTGCTGGAGGTAGAGATTACTTACTTAAACTTAAAAAAAAAACAAAACAAAACACATGCAGCAGGCAGTTTTCTTTGTAGCCTGTCTTCACCCACAGCCAGCTCTGGCCCAAGTGGCAGCTGATGGCTGCCTAGACCTCTGGTGGATTTGAACACCTTGATTTTACACATGAGGAAACCAAAGCTCAGGGAGGTGAAGGGCCTTGGCCAAGGGCCCACAGCTAGTAAGTGATGCAGCCTCCAAGCACCACAGCTACAGATGTTAGGATACTGACCCGAGGGATGCACCCAAGCCAGGGGACCATCTCAGTTTGGAATTGATGAAAATTTCCTATTTTATATACTATCTCGGCAGATTTAAGCTACACAGACAGGCAGTGTAAGGGATTTAGGTCTGATGTAAAGAAGAATTTCATCAGGGCAGAAATTCTTCAACAGTAACATGGGTGAGCAACTCTCTGGGTTTTAGGGAAGAGAAGCTGTTGGTACTGGGGGTGAAGCAGCCCAGGATAGCAGGGGGGCCAGATGACTAAGGTCTCTCCCAGAATGAGGAGGAGAGCGAGCGAGGAGTACTAATATTCCAGCTCATAATGTCAAAGTTCTGATAGAAGCTGTAGCTCCTGGAGGAAAAGCTCTCACAGGCATCAGTATCCTGCGAACTGAACGAACTTGCCCGTAGTAAGGAAACCGCGAGGAAACCGGAAGTAGCCCAAGGCTAGGATGTGCGAATGACCAGGCACTCGCACAGTACCCAGAACCTGACTTAGGTCAGCCTAGACAACATTCCTACTGGTTGGGTGACACAGATCCAAGACCGGACTGTGATGGTTCTTACCGAACCTGTTAAAACAAAAGCCACAGTGACTCCTAGAAGCAAACGTGACAGTTTCATCTCATTTCCAAATCCTCTCCACTCTCAAGCCCTTTGTTTTCCATGAGCAGAACAGAGTCACCGGGCTGTGGGATGAGGGAACTTAGAAACTTGAAGAATTGCCAAGGGGAGAAAACCGAGCAGAGCAGCTAGAGAGGGCTCTGCATTCAGAGTCTGGGTTTAATTCTGGCTATGACCTGGGGCAAGTTTCTGAGTCACACTGTGCCTTAGTTTTCCCTTCTGTAAAGTGGGCATAATAAGCAATGGGCCTAATAAGCAATGACCATCTCATAAGGTGGCAAGGATTCAATGATATAATGTATGTACAGAGCCTGACTTGTAGAAGGAGCTCAATTAGTGTTGGCTTTATTGTCACTATTATTATTTATATTAACAAGTCAAATTTGTAACTACACTTTAGTGAACACTCAAGGCATCAGAGAAAGGTCTCTTTGTTAAACCAAGATTTAATAGCAAGTAGTGTTAATTACACACTTATATACAGTATCAAGAGAAAGAGAATCGCAGTTTTTGAGGAAAATGATTAGGGAAGGTACCTTTTGAAGCCTCCTTTCACATACTGGTTGTTGACAAAACTAGGAACGGTTCAGACTAAGCTAATAAACTTAAATAATCAAAGGTTGAAAGTTTCTCCAGCAAAAAAACAGTGACGAATCTGTGGAAAATGACAGAAGGATTTAACAAAGAAAAAAAATGTTAAGAGATTAGTTTCTTAGAAAAGGCAAATGCCATGCAGCTGAGGGACACCGTTTAGCCATCTCTCCTGGCTTCTAAGCACAGTCCGTCAAGCAGTTCCTAAGCCAAGAGCTCTTTAGCTTCAGCTCCGCAGAACTGAGTGACCATCTGTTCTACCCAGAAAATACAAAACGAACTGCATGCTGGGAAGTAACGTCAATCAGAACCTCTAGGGGAAGAGCTTATTAATGATCTTTTTCTAATTAAGAATTCCCGTCATGAACACAATTAGGATTTTTGCTTAACCCAAAGAGAAATAAACTAATATCATTTTGCAGGTTCCAAAGATGAGAAATCTCCACTACAATCCTAAACTTTTAAAGCTCTTCTTAGTTGGCTAAATACAGCAGTTCATGCATATGGCTGGCTTAAGCTCTTTCTCCCACTCTGCCACAG